AGATGATGATAATTCGGATGATGTTGATGAAGATGATGATTCGGATGATGATGATGATGCTGTTGATCATGATGTTGATGACGATGATGATCAGGTTGATGATTATGATCATTATGTCGATGATGATGATAATGAAGACGATTATCATGGTGATGAGGGGGAGGATCATGATGTTGATGGTGTTGAGGATGACGATGATGAGGATGATGATGGTGTTGTTGAAGATGATGAAATTAATATTGATGATGAAGATTTTCATGAAGATTATGATGATGATGATGATGATGATGATGATGTTGATGATAATGATATCGATGATCATGATGAAGAGGGGGATGATCATTATGACGATGATGATGACGATGATGATGATGATGATGATGAATTTGATTATGATGAAGATGATGATAATTCGGATGATGTTGATGAATATGATGATTCGAATGATGATGATGATGATTATGTCGATGATGATGATAATGATGTCGACTATCATGAAGATGAGGGGATGCTCAAGATGTCGATGGTGATGATGATGAAGATGACGATGATGATGATGATGTTGACGATGATGAAGTTAATGATGATGATGATGATGATGAGGTTGAAGATGATGATGATGATGATGATGATGATAATGATGATGATGATGATGATGATGATGATCATGTTGAAGATGATGATGATGATGATTATCATGATGAATTTGATAAAGATGAAGATGATGATATGGATGATGTCGATGAAGATGATGATGATGCTGACGTTGATGATGATGATGATTCGGATGATGATGATGATGATGATGTTGATGATGTTCATTCGGAGGCAAATTGATTCGGTTCATGGTGGTGATGGTGATGAGGACGATGATATAGATGATGACGTTGATGATGACGATGATGATCAGGATGATGATTATGATGATTATGTCGATGATGATGATAATGATGTCGCTTATCATGATGATGAGGGGGATGATCATGATGATGCTGACGTCGATGGTGATGAGGATGATGATGCTGACGTTGATGGTGTTGATGATGATCACTGGCATGATGATCATGATGATGATGGCGATGATGATCACGATGATTATAGTGACGATGATGATGTTGATGATGATGAAGTCAATGATTATGATTCGGAGGATGATAATGATGTCGTTGATGATCATCATTCGGAAGATAATGATTCGAGTGATGATGATGATGATGATGACGATGATGATGATGGTGATACGGAGAATGAGGATGATGATGATGATGATGATGATGATGATGGTGATGACGATGATCATGATGACGATGGTGATTCGAATGATGATGATGATGGAGATGATGATGATGGTGATGATGGAGATGATGATGAATATGATGACCATGTTGATGATGATGATGACGATGATAACGATGATGATTATAATGATGATGATGGTGACGATGATGATGATCAGGACATGATCATGATCGTGATCATGATTTTTATGAAGATGATGATGATGATGATGATGATGCCGATGACGAGGTTGATGATGATGCTGATGATGATGTTGATGGTTCCGTTGATGATGATGATGATGATTACGAGGATGATGATTCGGAGGATAATGATGATGATGATGATGATGATGATGATGATCATGACGGTGATCATTATGATGTTGGTGATTCGAATGATGATCATGATGATGATGCTAATGATGATGATGATAATGATGTTGATGATGATGATGAGGATGATGATGAGTATGACGATGAGGAGGAGGACGATGATGATGATGCTAATGAGAATGACGGTGATGATGATGATGATAATAATCATTATGATGGTGATAATGATGATGATGTTGATATTGGTGATGATGATGATGACGATGATTCGGATTATGATGTTGAAGCTGACGAAGATGGTGAAGATGATGTTCATGATGATGATGATGATGATGATGATTATGGTGATGATGATGGTGAGGATGACGGTGATGAGGTGATGATTATGATGATGGTGATGATGACGATGGCGATGATGATGATGGTGATGATGAAGATGATGATGATGATGTTTATGATGATGATGAAGTTGATTATGATAATGATAATGATCATCCGGATACGGATGTTGATGGTGATTGTGATGATGATGATGTTGATGATGATCATTCGGATGATGATGATGATTATGATAATCAAAATGATGGGGATTCTGATGACGATGATGATTCGAATGATAATGATGTTGATGTTGATGATGAAGATGATGATGTGGATGATAACTGTGAGGGTGTTGATGATGATTATCATTCGCATGATGATGATG